TATATATATATATATATATATATATATATAAACCCAAAATGTGGTAGAATCTCAGTACCAGGAACAGCGGATCCTGAGACATGTGCATTGGCAAGGATGCGTGCACGCTTGAGATTTATCTGCATCACACACCACCAACAGGAATTTAATCTAAAATAGTCACTTATGCCATAATGTGTCAGACGTGTAATCTCAAGAGACTTCAATTAATGAGTCATCCATCTCGTGGTTGATGAATTTGTGGCCTTTAGAGCCTGCAGAATGATAATGCAACTAATACATCCAAGTTTCAGAGCCACTGCTAGCCTACTCGAAGAAACAAAGAGATTAATGCAATAATAGGAGAAACCAGGGAAAGTTAGTTTTACTTACCGACTGGATGCTCTGAAACAGGCAATATAACCATCCACATCACTGCTAATAGGTCTGCAGTTTGTGTATGGCAGCTGGTATTGCAATGAAAGTCTATCATGGGCACTGAAGCTTCTTCATATTGGGTTTAGGGGGATGGGGAGGTGGGTAGGAGGACATATCTCAAGAGGTTATACGAAGACTTCCATATCTAAGAGAGCTTGGGCTTGCCAAAATTTAGAATCCAAGGTAACAAAAATGAGGATTATCAGCAGGTAATCTCTCTATTCCTTTTTTCTTACCCACACTAAAAAATTCTCATTTGGAGAACCTAAGGAACAGTTGAATGGGGTTCAAGATATGCCACTTGCTCCAAATTTCCAAGGGAGATGGTTTCAACTTTGACACAAGAATGGAACAGCGCAGTGCAATTTTTACTGCAACTATGAGTACACAGATGCAACTGATAATTTAATTAACCCCATAATATCACGGAACAGATACTAAAGTTGCAGATGCAAGTATAGGCCATTAAATATGGAGCGCAACAGTGTGCTTCGTTTGGAAATGATTAGTAAAGATGTTGGTTATACCACGTCAAAATTTCTTTATCAAGGTGTACACAAAAAGAACATATAGATATGAAATTCGCTAACCAGAGATCACATGTTCTAGTTCCACCACATATCTATACTCAGTACACTGCAGATTGCGCCATTGATTTTCGTGCAATACAAGCTCATGCTAACAAATTTGAATATTGAAACACATACAAGCAATAGCACGATCAACATCTGATACTACACAATTCAGCACTACAAAACTTAGGAATGATTAAATTTCAGATATTCCACCGGATATTGTTCTATAAACAGAGGGAAAGTCCAGAGTAAGGCACTCCAATTTATGCTCGAGGATTCAATATATGGCAGGAACTGCAGAAACATATTACTTACAGTAGGAAATACTAGGACATTGAGAGACTGATAACGTAACCAAAGATGCAGTATTCGCATGCTCAACCATATACAAGTCACTGTCGTATATGATTTCATCAGTCCAGGTGTTGCCTGCATTAAGTTTGAAAAGACATTCTGCTTAGATGAGAATTCAGACCACAACCATGGGACCAAATGGTCAATCCCAAACCCTCAGTTACATTTGACTGAAAAAAGAGAACCAAATTATTTTAACGTACATACCAAGACCAGAATACCAAGACCAAGTCCAAGCAGCTGAGCTGCAACTTCCCAGACTTCCTCCTGTCATGTATAAAAGTGTCTATTACATGACTGCATGGGAAGAAATTTTTTTTTTACGTTCGCTATCCTGATCAGCAAGAAATCTTTAACGGACATATTGAAATAAAATGGTAAACAAATGCAATTATAAATTTATAATGCATTAGATAACATTGCTTACGAACAACACCAAGAGTCAGAAAAGGTATACTAGGTTGTAGATTGTCACATAGGGAAAATAACAAATATACACAATGAGATAAAGCTACTGCACCTTACACCAATGGGTTGCAAAATAACTGTGCAATTGGTGGTATAATATGATGAGATTAAGATTATGCCAATAACCTTCCAGAGAATCAACCAAATAATGACCTTGAGAATCTTCTCAATTCAAGAATTTGAGATTGAGAGTCACTCATAATAGGAATTTAGAGGGAAGGCAACCAACTTATAAAGTGGTGATAGATAGTTATCCATTTGACCCACATAGGAGATACATGGTATTTAAGTACCTTCGAGCCCTACAGCTGCCAAGAATCAGTAGGTGAAGCATGTCAAATCCCAAATCAGATAGTGCATTACGAATAAGGTATTTAAGGACATGTTGATCCACCAATTCACATTCTAGATTGTGCCACTAATTCACATTCTACTTTACATTGTAGTCCCTACTAGTGCTTCACTTCATTTCCTTACCTTTCAAAATGTTTTGTAACTTTCCTTTCACACCACAAACACAATAAAATGCCTGTAGTACTTGCAACAGTTCCTTTACCAAAGCGCTATTCTTTGGGAACGTTACTTCCACAGCTTCAAACATCCATGCATGTGACTTCCATTAAATTTTGCATGGGCTAAACAATGTTCAATTAATCTGTATGCCTTGTTTATACTGTGTATTCATTTATAAAGTGATACTGTGTATTCATTTATAAAGTGTCAATGCATCTATTAGATAAGCATGTATAAGACAAATTTTGAGCACAATATTATAAAAACATGGTTTTATAACGTGAACTATATCGCTGTTGGTCTAATTTAGTAATACCTCCATTTGAGCAAGGGAAAAATATTGCTGTTATCATGTAAAGATCTGAGGTGAAACTGCACTTGTGTAAAGCTAATACCTTGGCAGCAACATCCCCCAGATTTAGAGAAACAGCAAAATGATTTTGTATCACACGAAATGATGGGTCCTTCAGTCCTCTGGCTACAGCCTATATCATGTTTACAAATTAAGGACAGAAGTTAAATAAGAAAATCATGATATTAAACAGAATAAGTCCTGACTCCAAAAGAATTAGTAACTAGTAGCAAGAATCTTGTCAATAGAATCGAAACACATAATAATATGCATATGCATGTGCAGCCTCATCTATTATCATGCAAGAACATGCAGGTAGAGGTGAGTGTGTGGGGCGAATGTGTATAGAAGTCTAAGGGTGCATCCATGAATGCCTGCGCACATTCTATTATCGACTTACATTTGTATGCATATATTTGCAAATTGAAATGCATTTGTTCCTTTGCATTTCCTAATGCATGGCACATTATACCCTGTTACATACTCAATTGACTTGAATGTTCACTTGTAAGCAAGCCAATGATGTCAGTCTTCGATAATTGGACAATAGAGTTAAAATATTAACCGACCTTGACATTGATAAAATTAATCCAACATATCCTGCTGACAATGATACCGGCATCTTTACCTTGTAAAAGCTGAAATACTGGCCGTCCCTCAGACATTTAAAAATAAAATAAAGAGTCTTCATATAATAAAGGAATTTGAAATTTTAGCTAAGGCATTATTCATAGAGGTAAGTGTCACGTAGCAGAGCATTGTCCTGGGCCATAGAAAATTATATGCGATGCCATGGGTTGCCATTTATATTACATGCATGTGCAATTTTATTTGGATGGACTCGTAACATTCTTTTCACTCCCTCGGGGGCCAAGAAATCGCATCAAGTCTGACTTCTTTGTTTTGCAGGCTGGCTATATAAGAATTTCCCTTTGACTTTTATCCCATGGAGTCATTCATGAGGTCAAACTAAACATAATACAAAGTATTCTGAATTGCGTCCACAACACTAGGGACATACCTCAAATGATGAGTGACTCCAGTAAAAATAATTTCAAAGAATTCACTTTTATTGTATCAACATGATTCGAACATCACATACTTCTAATCTATTGTCCAATGCTTGTAACTCAGATTATAAACAGATTATGTGATTTTGCATCTGGAATTTGTTTCTATAAACTTTTGCATAGCTCAAGTGATTTCACTGTAACTCGTGAAATTTTCAGAAGGGGATTGACAACTAATTCAGTCTAATGGCACCCAAGAAAGAAATAGAACATATCGATCATAACAACATGGAAAGCTGGATTAAAGAATGATGGAAGGGATAGTAATCACGAACACAGGCAGCAGCATGCCAAGCTTAGTTCTTGAATACCTTTGCAAGATTTCCTAGAGATGCAAGTGGGAGGAAATATGCTGGATAGAGTTGGGTGCTCAGCTCAAAGATACTGAAATATGGATTCAGTCAGTTTAATAGCCCTTTTTCGCCAAGTGACTCATCATTTAACAGTCATCTTGTATTTCTGGATATTTAAGTGTCACAATCGATATTAAAATAATGTCCAGTTACATAACCTGCCAGCGCTGCCAATGAAATCTGCATACATGCGCCATTGTTTTGGGTCGTCATCAAAAAGCCCCCCAAAGCGCCCGCCTATAAACAATACAAGAGTCCTTAAGCAAGAAGATATCTAATAAATTACTATTGTTTGAGGCTTTAAGCTGAAGCATTACGGACCAATTAATAGACGCCCAAAAGCTCCAAAGCCATCCTTTGACACCCATCTGAAAATAACAATAATAAATCTACAGCTTTTCGCACATCAAACATAAAGAGCATCATCATACATATCTCAAATAAAATTAACCACAATAATACTAATCTGAACTTTCAAGAAAAACATTTATATAAATAGTGTAATCATGTCCAATGAAACAATCGCAAAAAAACATTTATATAAATAGTGTAATCATGTCCAATGAAACAATCGCAAAGAAAGACAAAGGATAGATTATAACAGAAATAGTTCCTTTGTATAACCATGATATTCTCAACATGAGTTTTATATCAATATTGAACCGTTAACAGAGTCAAAACATGCGTGCTTCACATTTCAGTGAAAATTGCATCAACAGAAGCGGGGGAACAGGTTAGCTACTCATTTAAGCAAGTCCACTTGAAAGCTCATTGAAAAAAAAAAAAGTTACCTGATAGCAGCAGTAGAGGCTGCAACTGTTGTTCCAGAAACAGAACCCACGCCTACAGCCTGATTTATGATATTAATGAAGCCACAACCATGAACAATAAAAATAGTACATTCACAATTTATGAAGCAAATAAGTTCTCATAAGAAACAATTCTCAATTTTCAACTCCACAAACCACCTCAGAGGGGGTCACAACAAATTATAAGTTTGATATTCTACCGCATAACACGTTCACGAGCTGGAGAAAGAGTTATAACAATAAAGAGAAGATCCCAAAACAGGTGTGACAATAACAAAAACGAAATCAAGGACGGTATTAAATGCATTCCACCCCATTACTTATCCAGATTAAATTAATGTCTCCGATATGCTAATCCCAAAGTTCATAACAACTTGACAACCTAAGGTAGGCCATCAATTAACATTGTGGGGTGATGTGAATGTAATTCATCCCCTTACAATCCAGTTTATATCAATTTCTCCGGCACGCTTATTCCAAAGTTCATGACAAGTTGAGAACATAAGTTGGCCTCTCCATTAACATGGTAGAAAGAAACACTAATCATCTGTGATATATCATGGATATAATGGGGTGCCAGGGAAATACAAATTTTCATGAGCCCATAGTAGTGTCAAATGGAACACCCATAATGACAAACATCGATGAGCATGCCTAACTAATCAGACATGAGCAATCTCATTCACCTGATACTCCATCTCTGCTTATATGAACAGCATCAAATGCTTCAATGGAAGCATTTTTACTTACCTTTTCTTTTGATACATAAAAACATGATAGTTTCTGCAGGGGTCTCACATAACATTAGAGGATCGCAACAAATTAGACCTAGCAACTGTGAGTTAGTTTCATGCTAATTAAGGACATTGCACCGACAAAATTTGAGCCATTATTATGGATAATAATAATGCATTCTTCATAACAGTCAATGATACCTTTAAGAGAGAGGATGTCACAAGTGTATGGCAGACCCATGCAGTGACATTGGTTGGGAACTGCAATAGCATGTAAGCCAAGTAATCATCTGAAACTGATCCTGCAATTCATCAATACGGAAATTCAAGAACCAGGATAAGTGATATCAAAGACAAGAAAAGTTCAATGTGAAAGAAGAAAGCTTAACTCAGTTACATCTTGTAAACATTGACAGGAAACACGCTTTTGCCAGAAACAATAATTTAATATAATCAATAAACAAAATAAAAAAGTAATAAACTTTCTTACACCAACTAAATCATATTAATCACCAGCACTCCACCTTAAAATATACTACACATTTTCTCCGTAAACTTTTAAAAATAAAATAGGTAACAAAAAGTTTTCAATGTTAAAAAGATACAAAAAGGACATCATGATACAACAAGTCTGAAAAATAAGAGGTACAAAGAACTTTCTAAAACAAACACTGATACGCAAATATTAACCTTACCAAAAATAATAAGACATCTGTATCAAATTCAAAAAACATTGTTCAGTATAAGGATACCTCATTGGATGAAGATAAAACTTAAAACTTTTTCTATGAACATGAATCTATATAATGTGCTTATAGATGAAAAACTGTGAAACAGACTACATTCATTATTATGAAAGAGAACAATAGCATAGCCAATGAGAATTTTTCACACCTCCACTTTCTGAAAACTTTCAAAGGATTCACAATAGAGAATCATAAATTGTGTGTAGATTCAAAAGACAAAAAAAAAAAAAAATTGCATTGTGGAGTCCAAACATAATGCCGTAATGTACCATCAAATGAACAGGATATCCTCATTTTGACATATTGACGACCTATCGATAAAATTTCAAAACATTAATCACCATTTACCTCAAGTGGAATTTTAAGGAAATGAACATTACATGCATAGGAGTGGCATATAGATATTTATACGAATTTTCCATGCACAACAAAAATGTCGTGAATGCAATTCAACCAAAGATCAAGATGAAACATAAAAGGAGAACCTCAAGTCAATCATAGGCCAGTTTGGATGCATGTGAACAAGGAAATGCGTTTCATAAAATTGCATATGGCCGTATGGTGGTTTTCCACAATTGCAGTTCAGTTGAATTGTAATTAGGTATTGTTTGGGTTTCTTTTCATGGCTTGCCTTTGAGCATAAAATGCCTTTTGTGAATTGTGTGGTGGGGGTGGGGGTGGTGGTGAGGAGGCTAGGGTCAGATGTGATGGAGTTCGTGGTAGTGGCAACAATGGCAGTATGGTGGCTCTGTCAGAGTGGCAGTAAGGGTGGTGGTGGGGGGGACCGCGGTGACAATGACAGCACAGTAATGGCAGTAGAGGTGGTGGTGATTGCAGCAAACGTGCAGTGGTGATAATAGTGATATTCGAGGTTAGGTGTGGTGCAGGTATGGTGGTGGTGGTGATAGTGGGAATGGAAGTGAGAGTGTGATGGTGGTAGGTTGATGTCATGTAGGGGCGAGGGGGCGGGGAGGGAGAGAGAGAGAGAGATGTAAGGTTAGTGTCAAGAGAGATAGAGGGTCGTAGCCGGGTATGCTCTTTTACAAGTGCAATCAAATTAGGTTTTATCCTCACTTAGTTGAGTTCTTTTTTACTAGTGCACTTATAATACTAAATGGCATCCAAAAGCCATTGGATAGATTAATCTACATCCATTTTTTAACATGTGGTTCCACGTATTAAATACAATGGACCTGCGTTTCAAAGCTTACCTAAACTGGCCCTAAGAGAAAGAATAAGAACTTTTTGTTGGCTAGGTAAGCATGCAAGATAGCACTATAATAGGTAATAACTTATGAAAATATACCAGAGGCTAGAGCTAAAGCAGTGACAGAAAAAGAAAAAAACAAGAACCACAAAAACGTGCCCTTTCCATCTCCATATAGACAAAGTAAGGCAAAATCACTAAGATAACTACAACCCAAAAGGGGGAGTTATGCCTTAGTATGTCACAAGTGGAGCTTCTGCAATTTGTGGGTGGAGTACAATTAATGGCACTTAATGTTTGCTGTTGTCTTATACACCTCAAGATTAATTAAAAACAAACTTCATCCCATTGCTAACCATTCGTTTCAAAACATATCATAATAAAACTTTCGAAAACATCACATTATGTTACACTAATCTATGTTGTATAATCCATGCAAGTTAAATTTCATGTTCCATAGCTTACGGGTGTTGCATCAGCCTTGCAGCAAGTTATAAACTCTTGACAATAAAAATATCCAATGTGAAAACCAGGGATTAAAAAATCGCCGCGTGTTGATTCTAGCGTAAAACCGCAAATCACCCGTGTCTAGAAACAAATCGGACGAGTCGAACGACTTTGACGTCATGGACCGGCTCATGACGTCATTAACACGGGCAAACGAGCCGAGTCGGGCATACAAGCGCGGACGCTCACGCAACAGCGTCCATGGAGCGCCTGCCTTCCACGTGCGCCACGTAATGCACCACCCGTGAACAATTTATACTTACAATGCTTTTCCATAGGCTTCAATGTGGGATAATTAGTTAGGTGGTCTTAAGAACATAAGAAATATACATATATAGTAGACAAATACGCTGCAGTGGTATGATGGGTAGCTCTTTTATTTTTCTTGCTGGGGTTGTAGGTTCGAACCCCCTCTCGACTGTAGTACAATTTTTTGTCAAAAAAAAAAATATAAAAAGAAGTTATAAAAACAAACGGCATTGGATTTTTTGTCAAAAAAAAAGAAATAAAAATATAAAAAAAAGTTATAAAAAAAAGAACTTATAAAAATAAAAAAAATTATCTTGACAAAAAAAAGAAGTCATAAAAATAAAAAAGTTATCTTGACAAAAAATAAAAATTATGACAAAAAAAAGAAGTTATATTGACAAAAAAATAAAAATAATTTTAACAAAAAATTAATTTTTGTCAAAAAATAAAAGTTACTTTAGCAAAAAAAATAAAAGTTATTTTGACAAAAAAGTTCCATTGACAAAAAAATAAAATTTATGACAAAATGAAATAGTCTATAATTCTTTTTATTTATTTTTAAGATATAATTATTTTTTAAAATTAATTATATATTTATTTATTATGATATGCAAATATAAAGTACATATAATATTTAATTACATAAAATTACAAAAATAAAATGTTATATAATAATTTACAAAAATTAACATAATTATATGAAATTGTTGTTTGTTTATGTGAATAACTTAAATATAATTATGTTAATTTTTTGTCAATATAATTAGTTTTATATACATTAAATTATTGTTAAATTATATGGAAGTTTTCTACTAATATTTTTAAATTATTTTGATTTAATATTATAATACTATATTATAATTAATAGTTATAATTAGGGATTTAAAAAACAACGAGTCAACTCAGTGGTGGTAATTACATTATATGATAAAAAATGAAAAAATTATTAATAACAATAATTGGGTGCTCATCACCCCTATCTTACACCAAAAAAACTAAATTTACCTACCCAAATAAAACGTAAAAATTCTATTAGGTATATCACAAGATTATTTCATTATATGATTAATAATTAATTAAGTAGTTAACTGAGATTAAAAATTAGTACTAGCTCATAGGATATTAAAAAACAAAAATAATACTAATTCTAGTTTATTGAATATTAAAAAATATTAGTTTAGATGATATTTTAAGAGAGAAAAATAACACTAACTCATACCACTTTAGAATTTATTTCTACATTGATAACCAAATCTTTTATTTTTTATTTTTTAATTTATTTGCATTATAAATTATGTGATATACTATTTTTTCTTCTAGTTGTCAATAACACATTTTAAATTAAATGATATTATAAGATATTTTGGATTTGTTATTATTTGTATAATAAAATAAACTATAAAATATAAACCAACATTTTCAATTTCAGTATATAATACTGCAGTTAGGTACTAATAATTTGGGTTTTTTTAGCGGAGTAGGGTCTTCCGCCTATTCGAGATTTTGATGGCCAATTTTTCATCGATTTAATCCATTCTTTATTATAGTCCAGTATAATTATATACTTCATCCATGATAATTCTATTATCTTTCTTTTGTGTGATGTAAATTTAATAGTTAACATAAGTTCATACAGGGAAAGAACATCTCAATATTCGCATATTGATGAAAAAAATGAAAGTTAATAATGTAGTACCTCAATTTTTTATTGGATTTCTAAAAAACAATATTTATAATGAATTTTGATAATTTTTTTAGATTTTTTTTAAGGATTAATCCGACCGATTTCCTATCCAGATCGCCGATTCACCGATCCGTATGGATTTTTGAGGTGCCCAATCTGGGGCACCGATCCGTTTTTTAAACCATTGGTGAAAACACATGGAACAGGGATAAACCTTATAATGTTGAATTACGGTGCAACCCAAAAATCCCTTGTAGAGAGTGTTCCAACATTGGAAAGCCCTCCAATTAATCATCTCGACCTCAAGATGAATTGTTATGAAGGGGAAAAAAATTTAAGTCCTAAAAATATGCATCTTGTAACAAGTTATATAGAACGTCCACTTTCACGATTTTCAAGTGTTTATAGATCTACTCAATCTGTATCATTTTTGGAATTTTAAATTTTTAACTAGCGATAAAAATAGATTTTCAAACTATCATAGGGTTTTCGACACCAGAGCTACATCTCCAGGCAAAATTTAGAAGCACACGTTACTTTTACAATATAAGGAGGGCACCTTATATACACCTCACCCTTATAACAGAGAAACAAATTGAGAAAGTAATAATAACAAAGTCAACAGACAAATGGAAAGAAATAGTAATCGAGTGGAAAGCAAACCTTCCAAAACATTGGTCACCTGGAAACCCCGCAGGCAAGACAAAATTTTGAAAAATGCCGGGAAGCCAAGATATGTGGGTGTGCGTCGGGGGTGATTCGTGGACTGTTGCACTCACTGTTGGGGTAGCATCCTCTTGAATGGTTTGGAGTAGAGCAATGTTATCAAATATGTACCTGCAATTGTGGTAGACCAAATAGAACTTGAACAACACAGTCTAAAAGTCGATCCAACCAAAGTCCAAATGATCAATATGCAACATATCAAAGGTTAAATCAAGAAAGTTCCATGTTTGACCATCAGCTTGAGCGAACCAGCTCACAGATACTCCATTTCAAGCTCAACTAAGTTTGTCTTCTAGTTCGATCCGATTTTACAAGAAACAATTCAACCATGAAAAGAGAGGCTTAATGTAGGTACTGACAATGAATTCAAACTTTAAAATTAAAAATAATTTCTATCATATTGAGCTACCAGAGAGAATATTGAACCTGACTTTATGCTTTTCAGGGGGACCTGCATAAAGATCAAGCAAAGAATGGGCTTGATTAATTGCCAAAGGAGAAAGAAGAGAAACCAAACCAGATCTTGAAGTTTGGTTTGGACTATCTCAAGACAAGTGGCTCTTATCAGCAATATCTAGTTCAGTGGGAAGGAAAACTATGGCTGGAAGGTCATGGGTTTCTGAAGTCGAGTTGAGAAAGGTGATGAGGATTTGTTGTGCCAGTGTGTTAAGGAAAACTCGCAGGAATCGAGTTCTTTTCAACAAAGGGAGAATGATGGAGTTTAACATTACAAAAGCAAGTCTTTTTTGTGTGTGTGTGTGCGCGAGCGTGCGTGCGCATGCACTATAAAGCATACAACTGCCAAAAGTTTAGTAAGGATAATTTAGGAAGAGAGTTATCATCATCATCCGAGACTTATCCCAATTATTTGGAACGGCTATATAAATTTTGTTCCTCCATACTTCTCTATCAAGGGCTACACTCTCAATAAGACCAAAAGTCACCATTATTTTTCTCACTATTTCTATCAATGTCCTTTTGGGCCTTCCATTTGAACAGGATGCATGTATGTTTTACTAGATGAGTATTAATCTATAATTGGGGTTTGTGGTTCACTTTTGCATGTTTCCTATGTAATGTCTATTTTTTAATAGATGCATCAAGGGTTTTTACGTGAATTTCAGTCTTCCAATGTATGCGGACTTAGTGAAGGGTCTTTAGAAGCCTCTAGACTTAGGTTTGGAGTCCATAAGAAAAGTCTTCCATGTTGCCTGAAAAGATAATTATAACCTTAAGGGTGTGTTTGTTTGTGGAAGAGGGGGGCTGCCCAAGCCCCCAGCCCCCTCTTCTACAAAATATGGAGGCCGCTCCTTCCATGCTGGTGGATTCCTAAAATCAACATCAAAAGACGTTTAGCGTGGAATGCCATCCTTCCTAAAATCGGCTTCCACGAGGGTCTGACAAGCGTGGAAATCGAATGGGTGAAACTAGGGTCTTCCACTACCCAAAAGTTCCACCAAAACAAATATGCCCTAATCTAATTAACAAGGTAGCTCATTGGGTTGGCTTCTTGTCTTTTTTGTTCTTCTAACTTCCTGGTTTGCATCAATCCAAATTTGGTATCCTTATATTTGTGCGTAACAAATTGGCGCCCCTCACGCACTGAAAATCAGAAAGGTTTCAGAGAGCTACTTTTCAAAGTGGGGTCCAGCCAAAAGTAAACAAAAAATAGAGCCTTGTTGCATCGAACATAAACCAGCAAGTCATGCAGGTTCATAACCTAAAGAGAAAGTATACAATGTGAGTGTTTACCTTCAGTTACAAAAATTCACAATCGTCGCTTACTGTCACAAGTGAAATTGGGCGGCTGGGGATGCACCATTTACTGCAAAGATTATTTTTCTTGGATATCATGCCTAGAAATGATACACCCCAGCCATACGAATCACATCTGAAAGCTTGGGATGTTTGTGACCTTGATGTGTGAAAAGTAACAGCCTCATTGTATACAATCCTTAATTTATAAACACATGCATTAAAAGTCAACTTCAATACTTCCCAATGGAGTAAAAATAAATGGTAGTTAGCCAAAAAAAAACTCCAGCTTATACCTTTTCGTAGAACCATCTTCATATCGTTCAACTAATATTGTACTTGGCAGTCTAACAAAAAGAACAGAAATAAACAAACCATCAGAAGAAAAGGAGAGTGAAGTAATATAAGCAGTAAAAGACGAATGACAAAAAACACAAGGGTGACAAAATTGTGGAAATAAAAGGAAAAATATTATGAGAGATTTTCGATTTCAGTATGTTTCCATGGCACATGAAGAATTGGCCACAAATTATCACCAAAAAAAAAAAAAAACTGACAATAATGAATAAATTTGAAATGATAAAACAACCAATAAATAGGTTGTAAACCTACACCAGCAAAAGTGGCAATAGTTTACTCGGTATATAAAATGCATTTTAATGATATCACTGTTAATATTTTAGTATAGTAAAATACTATAAAATATTTCAAATTTCAAATTAATATATCTAATACGTATTGTTTTTCCTATGTTTTAAATACATAGAGAGTGGGGGGGTTTAGTCCCACATTGAAGAGTGCAGTGTTGAGTGGTGGGGTTTAGTCCCACATTGAAGAGTGAAGTGTTGAAAGAGTGCATTTTAAATGGGAACACTTTCATGCCTAATATCTTTAGAACAAAGGTGAGTGTGGATGCATGTACAAAGCATGTGAAGCATTGCGAGGCAAGGTGTTTAATGGCTCACTTTGCACTTCCCACCCTTACAATGTATGGTGCTTAATTGTATATGGGTTGGGCTCGGTCCCCTTTTCCCATTTTAGATCTAACGGCTAAGACACTAGCCCTTGAGATCAAGGGGCATGTGCATATACGGGTCGGGCTTGAGGATCGGTCCCCTTTTTCCATTTTAGATCTAACGGCTAAGACACTAGCCCTTGAGATCAAGGGGCATGTGCATATACGGGTTGGGCTCGAGGCTTGGTCCCCCTTTCCCATTTTAGATCTAACGACTAAGACACTAGCCCTTGAGATCAAGGGGCATGTGCATCGTGGATCCAACGGTTGATAACCGTTGGATGGTGGCAGTTAGAAACCCAACAGTCACATATCATGTGAACGGTGGTGACTATTCATAACAGCCATTATTCACTCTTTAATAGGGATTTTTTAAACGTAGGGCGCTATATGGCTCACTTTGCACTTCCCACCCTTACAATGTGGGGCGCTTAATGGCTCACTTTGCACTTCCCACCCTTATAATGTAGGGCGCTTAATGACTCACTTTGCACTTCCCACCCTTACAATGTAAGGCGCTTAATGTATACGGGTCGGGCTCGAGGCTCAATCCCCTTTTCCCATTTTAGATCTAACGGCTAAGATACTAGCCCTTAAGATCAAGAGACATGTGCATGGTGGATCCAAGAGGTTGATAACCGTTGGACGGTGGCAGTTAGAAGCCCATCAGTCACATACCATGTAAACAGTAGTGACCATTCGTAACAGCCACTATTCACTCTTTAAAATGGATTTTTTACTGCTTTTTTAGACACCTTTTTATTTATTCGATATCTCTCTCTCTCAACAATTTCCTACTGACATTCTCTCACTAAAAATACAAAATGTGCCGGTTGACTTTTAACCAACTCGAATTTTCTCTTTCTCACCGGTTTCCTACTAACTTTTTTTTGTCTAAAAATACAAAATGTGTCACTTTCGCTCTCTATATTAAGGCAACTCGTGCATAGTAGACTTATCTATATTATACAAAATAAAAATATTTTTTGTCTAACTTTCTATTTAAGATATCCCGATGATTTGCCCAGATCACCTTTTGCACACTATTATTTTTAATAAGGGGGCAAATTAGATTTGCCTTGGTCACCTTTTGCACGCTAGTAATTTTTAGTAAGGGGGTAAATTACTCATCTAGTGTGGCTGAAAACAAGAAAGTCCACTTTCTTTTAATTTGTTTCTTTACTACATACTCCAGCCCTATTTCACCGGCCTCATTTTCCAACAATCACTAAAATAAAGTTCGAAAAAAAAAAAAATTGAATCCAAACTTCCAGATAAAAGAAGCCTTCCATTAGAATTTTCTAAGAATGATCAGTATAAGCAGCTAATTTTTTAGCTCGATATCAATGGCAATACATATTTGATCGGAAATAACCTACTCAATAAATTTCTTTCATAGAATTATATTTTTCTTAGAAAATACATAGTTCTGCTTCAAATAAGGTGAACAAAGAGTCTTCTTTTTTTTTTTTGTTAAATTGGAGAGCTTAAGATGTTTAACAATGCATTAAATTTACTATGTTTTTCAAATAAATGGAGGGATTACATATCAATCATTCACAATAATCAAAACTGGATAATTTAGTGAGATAAATTGATATCTCACGAATAAATCATGGCCTGTAAAAGAAATTTAGGGTTTACAAGCAGTTGGTCTCGAGACGACAACGACTGAAGGAATTAGGGTTTTGGTACCTGACATCATCGTTCATATCATCATCGCCATACTCTGGGATACCGCCCTGGCAGGAACAAATGGTGAGAACATTATCCCAAACCCTAATTCTTTGATATTTATTGAATGGTACTCTGCTTATTCTCCTCCTCGTTATTTGTGTTGTTGTGGAGGGCGCAAATGGAGGAAAGGGGGAACAACGCAGAGATGTAAACGGCATTTGATTTGGATTTCGCTTTGGTTACAGAGAGCAGTGCGCTATAATAATACTACCAGACAGAGAGAGGTGCTCTCAAAGTACAGTAAGAGAGACGGTGTGCAGCTATCACAGTCGCTCAGCCAGAGAGAAAGGTGAGGTCCACGTTTCCAGAAGATTTTGTGCTCCTGCGGTCGGGGGCCTGAAATCTTACATCTGCTACCGCCGGAGTAGATTGTACATCTCCGCCCTTGGTAAACCCAATCTTGGGAATATTTTTGTGACTCAAATTTTGACATTATGAACTTCTCAACCAGCAACTAAACACATAAGAAAATTCACATTTGGTTATGTTTGTATTTGAAAATCATGTTTATTAGACTCATGGTGTGTGTAATTTTGGAAGAATTAAATTCAGTGTTTCAAAATTGAGAATTGTGAGTTGGATAGTTCATCGTACCGTCATAATTGTCTGGTAGAATTTTCATTGTATATATATATATGCACACGCTCTAAATTTCAGATCATTTGTTTCTATAAGGTTGCAACTTTAAACAATCCAATTAAAGTGCACCTCCAAATTTTATCATAACATGTACTTTGATGTAAAAAATTATTATAATTATTTGATAATATATTTTCATATCTAATTATAAAATTTTAAACTCAAAAAATGGTTAAAGTCAAGTAAATTTATAAACATACGACAATCTTGAAAATGGACGGTGTAGATAGAGTGTTGCAAGATGCGTTATTTCTATGATTCAAAATCTTTTTTTTTTTTTTTTCATATTGATACATCTCGATGATCAATTGGAAGGTTTTTCAACATTAAAACAACTTTTTTCGATATATTTTTGAGGTGCATCTGTAATTCTACATTTTAAGGTTCCATCCTTATATAAACTTTTTCTTATTTATATATATATATATATATATATATAAATGATCATGTCGGCCTAGGCTACAGTGTCAGCCAACGGTTATGACTTCATTTGTATTTTAATTTTAATATTTTTTATACAAATCCAAATCACTTGAAGTTTTGAGAATTTATTATTAAAAAATAGTATAATATAATAAAAACAATAAAAAAAAATTCAATTTTTTTTTTGACGAAAATACCCCCGGAAAATTTCGAAAGTATTTTGGTCAATTTATATTTTGTGAATTATCTTTTTTATATTTTTATTAGGTGCGGCTTAATGAGTATAATATACGTATAAATTTTCAAGTAATTTAGATTCATAGAAAAAAAATAAAAATTCAAATACAAAATAAAGTCGTAACCATCAGATTCGCTTAGATTCAATCGAGACTATTAACTGACATTGTAGTAGTCAGCCCGTGGGTTGGCAGCATCCACTCTTCTCTTTATATATAGATCCCTCTCGGAGAGGGACTTTGAAAAACAAATGGTCACACCTAGCTGCATCAATCTCCCATTATCTCCCAAGGCAGCTTCTACCTTGCAAACAAGTGCATACCTGATCTAACCTATTTTGGGTTAAACTCGCATGGGGATTTCGGCCCCTCTCCAGCCTCTTTTTTATACTTAGTTTCTTTAGATCAATGGAGTTGACATGTTAAAAAAATACCTCTTTAGATCAATGGAGTTAACATGATAAAAAAATACCTATTTAGATCAATGGAGTCAACATGTTAAAAAAAAACCTACTCTCCATAAAGCTTGCTCATCTTTTGCCCTTCTCGGATACAAACGCCCACCCTCTTTTCTCTTCCAATCTGAACTCACCGATGCTCACAGAAATCTTTATTATAAATAATTAAAAATAATAATGCGTCAGATGTTTCAACACAACATCCCACCCTCCATTCTCGCTATTAATATATCAAAAAATAAAAATAAAAATTAAAGTATTATTCATTTACATGTGGGTCCCACTCTCTCAATGGAGGACAACCCAATGGATGGTAACCTTATTATTAGCTTTGGTCCGATTACTGTCTTTTTCTGATTTTGTCTATAGGTATCTTCGAGTCAATGTGGAATTACCCGAGTCGGCACGGGAATGAGGAACCATGCAATTCTAGCATGATCGTCTCGTTCTCCCGATCTTGGTTTCGATTCGCCTAGTTAGATTGGGACAATTTATATTTTTAAAACTTTTTGTTAAAAATATAAACTGTCCCAATCTAATTAGGCGAATCGAAACCAACTCTGATGAGTCGAAGACCGATTCCGATTTTGGAAACATTGAAACGTTCCACATGGTTTTGCCAGCTCCATGCACCACCTGCACCTTTTGCTACTAGTCAACCTCTTCCCACCATGTAGGCACAACTCATCTTGAAAAAGAGAGCCCCACTTAAAATAAAAGGGATTCCTTATGAAAATATGATGTGGGTGGATATGAAAATATGAGGTGGGTGGATATTATAATGAAAAGTTCATTGAGATATTCAGAAAAGAAGAGAGATTTCAGACTGCAACTACAAAAGAGAGACTTAAAACTCTAATCAACAACATACAAAGAGCGAGATCACACTCTAAATCAACAACATACAAAGAGCGAGATCACAATGAAAAGTTCATTGAGATATTCAGAAAAGAAGACTACAACTACAAAAGAGATACAAAAAGAGAGAGATCACAAGAACACAACTCTAATCAACAACATACAAAGAGAGAGATCACAAGAACACAACTCTAATCAACAACATACAAAGAGAGAGATCACAAGAACACAAACAAGAGAGAGAGAGATTAAATTATAATGAATACATAAAGAGTGAGGTATCTCACAAGAAGAAAGAAAAAATAGCAATGATTATGCCAAAAATGCAATTTCGGTGCCACAAAGCCTTGTGATGATATGGAAATCTATTGTTGCCTTCAGTTATGAAATTTAAAATTTCAGAAATGATGATGATCAAGAAGATCTATATACACACTTGAAAATCCCATTTTCTCATGTTTATGAATCTCGAGGTCGAGATGACCGATTTGAAGATTTTCCCGTATGAGAACAACGTGGGTTTTTAGCTGCACTTTACCCGTACTTATATAAATTGGGTTCCACCACCCTGAAAGAAGGGAGTCTAGGGCACGAGTTGCTCTTGTCTCATGAAGTCAATCCAATAGAGAATGGAGGACACGGTGTCGCACATGTCGGTGAAGCCCAACCGGTTGGCCTTGTCTCTACTGCTCAATAGCTTGAATGGCAACCTGAACAAGATGTCCAAAAACCACCAATTTGCCATCTCCTCCATCTTCGTTTTTCTCAGCCCATTTCTCTCTATGATCTCCTCCCAAATTTCTCCTTTGTCCACCATTCTCTCCACGATGGACCCGGCCCGAGAAAACCACCCATCTCCATCTTCCGGCGACATCTCCGGCTGCTCGAGTTGGAACTTGGCTGCGATCTTGGGCCACACCTCCTTCCACGTGAAATCCTCGCCGTTGATTGCGTTGAATGCGTGCCCCTTAGTGGCATCTCCACCGTCGATTGCTGCCCAGATCTGTTGCCGGGCCACGAGCCGGGCATCGGAAGCGTCAATGTGGGGCTCCTCCCAGCACTCTCGACTCCCGCAAAACACGAAAGGCAGGCTCAGGTGCTTGCATATGCTCGCGTAAACGCACAAGCACCCGACTATGTTGAAAAATGAAGTGGTGGAGCATCCCATCAAGAGCCCGGGCCTGTGAATTGACCATGAAACTTGTGTCTCGAGGAGTTTGGCCGCGACCGTGTCTTCGAGAGCATAATAGAAATTGTGGCCATAGGTTGCTCTGGGGCTCTCCTCATCGTAACGATGGTTCTTCCTCTCTAAAGATTTGGCGGTTCCCATAAGGATTTTAGGTGAGAGGTAGTGCTTGGTACCGGTTTGGAGGGTGAGGTGCCTGAGGTTCGGGGCATTCGGGAGGAGGGCATCGAGGGTGTTAGCAATCATCTCGGCATTCGTATCGGAGCAATCAGGAGAGTCCAAAGGGAAGTGGACAGCCCAAGTGGTCCAGAAGATGTGGGTCACATCTTTCAGCTCCGAGAGCTTTGACATAGTCACTTCTCGATTTAGAAGATCACATGCAATGAATTCGCATTGCATGTGATGTTTGTTGTGGTGGTGGTGGTTGTCGAATAAGAGGGTGCCTTGACTCAGTGAACGACGGGCCACGGCATAGACCTTGGAACAGTTTGGCCGGGATGCCAGCAAAGCCATGAGCTCCGCCCCCACGAGCCCGGTGGCTCCAGCGACTAGAGCCACGATGGGTGCCTGTGGTGCGACTGTGGTGCACCTCTCTGAGCCTATGACAGGGTCTTGTTGGGGTGGGGGAGAAACCATGGTCAGGCTCGGAATAAAATGGCAGGTAGGATATGCAGGCATCGGAGTTGGCATACATACATATAGATACAGCTAAAGGGATGACGTATGGCTACCGCAATGTCATTTTTTACATTTTGAGTTTCTAAATGGAAAATGGTCAAAACAAGTAAACTCTCACCTCATGGCTCATAAAAACTTGTTATTCAAGTATTGAAAAACCTTTTAAGTATATATTGTAACAAATCATCTAGACAATCCATATTCACCTTAAAAATAATTGTTCACATATATGTAAGATCTATATCGTTTTTTAAATTTCAAATTTTGTTATCAATGTTGGAAATTAATTTTAGAGCATCATGAAGATTTTTGATAACCAAAGTGCTTTTCGGATGCGGATTTGAAATGAAGCTTTATTTTGTTTTCATAAAGCCTATGCACTATAAAAACTTCATCCTTTCCAATTAGAAATTAGGAGTGGTCACCCAGGACCACCTTGTACAATTCTTCCATTACCAAATTCCAATTGCATGGGGAAATTTGTTTGAGCCTCCAATCAATCCAATTTTTTAAAAATTTATTATGTTGAGAAGGCGGATAAATAGTGATTTGAAATTTTCAGCCCAAAATAAATTTTTTTTTTGGATGTTAACTTGCTAAAACTCTAGATATCATGTTGTAGCACTCTGCACCCTAACACACATAATTAGATGTCATTCCTAGCGTGGAGCATAATACTTAAGGATGATTTTATTGTTGAAACCAGAAGATTAAAGATTGGACTGCTGATATTATCATTGTTATTGTCAGGCTCTAATAAATATATAACATGATCGGATCAATATCAGCAGCCTAATTAAGATCCAATGGCTAGTTTCATAAAAAATCAAGATCCAATGGCTAGTTTCATAAAAAACCAAGATCCAATGGCCATCAGCCCACGTATAAATCATAAATGCTACACCCTTAGCAATATGGCCTTATATATCCTGTTCTTTTAAGAATATATCATACATCCTTAATTATAGAAGGTGTATATTATAATCAGTGTTTTTTCATACACACTTATTATAATATACACCTTCTATAATTAAGTGCAATATATTGTATTTTATGATAAGTCTAAGTATATTATAGATATATGTGATATATTTTGATTTTTGTAATATGTATTTGTCTATATAAGACAAGCTTGTATTTTCATATTGATTAATGGACATTGAATCTCTTCATAGAAATCTAGACTCTTAAGGTATAAAATGTGACATAAAAATGAAAATATCAATTGGGATTTTGAGGTTGGTTCCCACTTCTTGTCTTCTTACTTTGGGGGTTACATCGTTGAAGATTGAGAAACCATACCCAAGATTCGGATGTTGCTTATAAGCTTCTCTAAAAGCATATATATCCATATTCTGTGTGTTTATATCTTATATCTATCGTTCTATATACTATATCCATATTTTGGTGAAGAAAATATTAAGTTATACTCTGAAAACTTGATTGACCATGTATAATATTGTGGCATGAGCAAGGCAAGATTGCAAGGAAAATACTTAATGTATATTAAATTAAATAAATAAATTATGAATTCAAAAACTAATCAATACATGATTTCTTAGATCGCTTTAGCATATATTGTAATAAGAGACATATATTTTAGTTTTTTCTTTTTCTTTTTTTGATGTATAGAAATGTGACTTTGCAGCCGTTTATTGTTGACATCGGATGACAGACAAGGTGCTAGGATACCATTGAACTCAAGCAGGCGGTGTCAAAGTCCTTTGCGCTATATGATGGGAAATATAGTTGCCAGTCCCTCTGCCTATGAAATAGTATGGTCCTGACAGCCCACATTCGACGTCGGAATATTTAGATGGATGTAAATGTGTTTTTTTTTTTAAATTTATCCGGAGATAGTTTGGGAAGAGATGTGTCTGACCTAAATACACTTAAAAAAAACCAAAAAAAAAGAAGAGTAAAGCAAAATGTCACCTGTCAATGACCGATATCAGTCCAAGGGTTCAATTTGAGTCATCGGACTAATGGCCATTCCGTCAGCCCACCGGCTCATGACTATTCCATCGGCCCACCAGCTCCTGGAATCATTATCTTGTATGACTGCATATACACTTACTACAAGGTTTCAAGGAAATATAGTTAAAGCGTTAAAAGGAAATTTGTGGGCTGGACCGAGGTATAAAGCATCCAAACTGTCCAAATGTTCTTTTAATATAATTATTATTTCTGATTTTTAATTTCCATATTCATGATCTCTATGTTAGAGATTATATATTATCTAAAAATTAGGGTCAAATTATATTTAAACATATATTTATTGTCAAGTCTGCATTTTTACAATATATGGGCTGGCCCTATAGAAACTGTGTCCGCATTAATAGTCAGGATTGTCTATAAAGAAACCATTTAACTTTTGTATATAGAGGTCAAATCATTCTCACTTATTAGATGTCAAATTGATGGCTTGGGGTGAGTCACAGAGTCTGAGAATTTTTTTTTGGAACTTTATAGCTATTCAATGACATTCTTACAGCCACCCATTTTAAAATTTAAAGGATAAAAATGATTGTGGCCTTCATATACAAAAGATAAATGGTTTCTTTATATACAATTCTTTGAAATTTTTATTTTTTACAAAAAAGAAAAAAAAAAGTGGCAAAATAATTAATGAATACATCTTAGTTCTCATCACTTGTAGGTAGGTCGAGTTTTTCCATCAAAATAACTTTGATCGTTTTACGATCTATTAAAAACATTAGACTATTATGGTTATCATCCAAAAAAAAAAAATGTGGCAAAATAATTAATGAATACATCTTAGTTCTCATTACTTGTAGGTAAGTCGAGTTTTTTCCATCAAAGTAAAGTTTTTTCCATCAAAATAACATTGATCGTTTTACCATCTATTAAAAACATTAGACGATTATGATTACCATCCAGAAAGAAAAAAATAGCATATGGAAAGTTGGAACGCAAAGCCAGGAGTATTGCTTAAATTAGGTATGGAAAAGGCTTACGAACGGGTCGATTGGGATATTTTGCTGGAAGCATTGAGATGTATGGGTTTTAAGAAAAAATGGAGAAGGTGGATAAAAAGGTCATTTTTTCGACGTATTTTTCAGTGATGGTCAATGAAAGCCCGAGAGGCTTTTTTAAGGCCTCAAGGGGATTGAGGTAGGGAGACCCGCTTTCTCTGTTCCTGTTCACAATTGTTGCTGAAGTTATAAGTTTGATGATAAGGAATATAGAAGAGAGGGGAAGATTTTATGGATTTAAGGTATTTGAAACATCTCCTTTGACAGTGACTCATCTGCAACATGCAGATAATATTTTGATGTTTTGTGATGCAGAGGTGGATCAAATAATTAATATCAGAAGGTTCTTGTGCTGTTGTGAAGTGGTGCTCGGCTTCAAAGTCAATTTTGAAAAAACATCCTTGGTAGGGGTGGAGTGTTCAGATGTAATACTAAAGCGGTTGGCTTTTCATTTGGGATGTAGAGTAGAGAAGTTTCCAATTAGTTATCTTGGCATACCAATTTCAGATGGCTGAATGCTCAAGTTGGTATGGGATCCGGTTTTAAAAAGAGTAAACACAAAACTAGACTTGTGGAAAGTTAAGCATTTATCCATTGGAGGGAGAGTTACTCTAATTTAGTCATCAATGACGAATTTACTGATATACCAAATGTCCTATTTAGTAATGTCGAGTATAGTTTCCAAAAAGATTGAACAGATGATGAGTAACTTTTTGTGGGGTTAGAGAGATTTTGGCAATAAATATCATTTGGTAAGTTGGGAGAGGATTTGCGCACCAAAAAGAGAAGGTGGTTTGGGAATTAGAAAACTCAAATATGTGAATCAGGCTTTGCTTTCAAAATGGTGATGAAGATTAATGAGCCATGATGGGATGTTTTGGAAAGATATATTAATAGCCAAGTATGGAGTGGACCAGCATAATCTTTGGATAAGCAGCGAGGGAAGGGATGTTCATAAATCACCGATATGGAAAGGAATTCTTCAAAACAGGTTTTTATGATTGGTGGTTGTAACTGGATTTTGGGCGATAGGAGAAAGATATCTTCTTAGCATAGTAAGTGGGTGGGAGATTGTTGCTTGAAATCGGCATATCCGCTGGTTTTTGGAGCGACAAATCAAAAAGATATCATGGAATCTCAAACCTTTGATTGGGATGCAAATGTCTGGTCTTTAAACTGTAGGTACAACAGAGTTTCGGACACACTGATTGATCAATATACTTCGTTGCTTGAGGATATTCATGGGTTTACGCCGCATAGAGAAAGGGAAGAAGAGTTGGTTTGGGAGGCTGAGAAGGACGGTATTTTCTCAGTTAAATTAGTGTACAGTCTGTTGTTTCATAATAGGATTCGGTAGAGTAGGCCATTATTGAAGAGAATATGGTCTTGGAAGGTCCCTTTTAAAATTCAAATTTTCTTATGGATCTTGTTCCAAGGAAAGTCACTTACTGTGGATAAGATCATAAAAAAGGACAGGATTATTACGAAAGTTTGCATTCTTTGTAAGGAAAATGATGAGAATGGATATCATCTTTTCCTTCATTATCCTTTCTCTTCTCACTTCTGGATATGGGTTTTTCAAAACATACGATGGTGGTGCCGAGTAGTCATATGCATATTTTGGGTAGGATGGAGTTGGATTCTTTACCAATGGTGGGCAAGATGATTTGGGAGATGGTAAGAGCCGTTGTTCTTTGGGAGATCTGGATGCAGCGCAATAGGAGGACATTTGATAACAAAGCTCTAGAGGTGGAATTGGTTAAAAGAAGATTCTACATTCGGTTTGGAGTTGGTTTTCTGTGACAAAGGAAGGGTTGGAGTGGCCAAAGCGGATGTTGAGATTAATTTGCATAATTTGATGCTTCAAAAAGTAATGAAAGTGAGACCAAAAAGGTAAGTGGAGCTTACCTATGCTTGGGAGTATCAAACTTAACTTTGATGGAAGCTTATTACGAAACCCAGGCATATCTGGAGTTGGAGGAATTTAGCGAGATGCATTTGAAGAGACGATCTTTTAGTTTGCTGGCCCTTGTAGGTAGATAACTACTAATAAAGCAAAATTGGCTGCGTTAGAGTGTGGAGTTCAGATTTTGAGTCAAAAGAATATTAGAATGCCATGTATTGTAGAAGGGGATTCTCTGAATGTGATAAATTGGTGCAATAAGATATCCAGGCCACCATGGAGCTTGAGGAGGAAATGGCTAAATTTTATGGATATATGTGAGGGTCTCCAAATCTTATTTCAACATGTGTATAGGGAGGCTAATGACATTGCCGATGGATTGGCAAAATGAGAGGTGGCAAAATTTGTTTATTTCAGATGTTTTCTCTTTCTGATTGGTTGTAACATTTGACTGATTAATAAAGCTTTAGTAACATTGTCAAAAAAAAAAAAAAATAGTATATTATAATTTTGTAAAACTTATAAAAAATTATTAAAAGACTTAATACTACATCATAGCAATAGAAACCAAATGCAATAAAACATGGTCAAATGTAAAACATAGATGAATAATGTACTACAATTAATTGTTGCCAAAAAATGCGAATACTTATTCATTTAAATCACATGTAGAATGTAAGCACAGCCAAACTTAATTTTGGTTTTGTTGATCACATACATTTGAATATCATAATTAACTTTATATGAACGCCGCTTACCAATAAAGTAGAAAGAAAGGTTCTATAGAACATGTGGAACGGAAGGGAAAGTTCTATAGAACATGGGGAATGGATGGCAATGGCCCATATATTTCATGTAATTATAAGGATCGAATCCTCGGAAAAACTGCAAAGCGTTGGAACCAATTGATTCTAGTCACTATCTCAAATTTAAGAGTGCATAGAACATACTCCCGCAGAAGCACACTAGAGAGTTAATCCCTCGAAGAGAAAAAAAAGAACTACTTAGAAGTATTTATTTCAAAATGAAGTTTTGGGATCCATTTTAGAAGCCAGATCATTGTTTCGGAAAAAAAAAAAAAACAAATAATGACATATATTTCAAGCACATTCAATACATGCGGTGATATTTTCCTTTTTCTTTTTTAATTTATTCTTAATGTTTGACACCAAGTAAAAGCCACATCTCCAAACTTTGGAACCCTAAAAGTACTCCTAGATAGGGTTTTAATCAGGGTACAGAATGACACTATGCTTCTGAGGGAGCATAAAATATTTTGGCCTAGTTTAAATTATTTTTATTAGCTCCTAAAGCAACCTAAACCTTAAGTGATATAATAGGTATTTCATAAGCTTTGACTTCCATTAAAAGAAAGATGAAATAAGAAGAGGATTGAACATCATATGGAGATAAATAAATAATAAAAATATAATTAGAAGTAAACCCCTTCTATTGTGTGTAGTTATAATAACAATAATCACAATAAGAAATAATTGAAACAACAAAACAAAAGCATTATTAACAATAATGTTTGTTAATAAATATTACAAAAGTAATTGACTAGCCAACTAGGTGGAAGAGAATGATATGTTGTCCTCATGACTGCACACTACCAGATGATAAAATAATTGTTGGGCCAACTCATGTACAAACATCATATAGGTTTCTCTCTCCAAATTAAAAATAAAAATAAAATAAAATAAAATAAAAATCCTTAGAAAAAAGTTTAGCCTCATTATATTTGATGCAGAACTTCTCCCAATCCAGTAATTTAACAACAGTCAGACTAACTTGTGAGGCACTCATATATTCCCCAATGTGTGGTAGACCTTAAAATAGGCAGGCAGAGTAAGTGTGAATAGGTAAGGTGCCACGCAAGCTAAATAATAAAAATTAGAATTTAAATTTTTTTGGGAAATACCACTGGTCAAATCACCCAAACAAACCATTTAAGTGGTCATATGGGCCACTTTATTAATAAAGTTATTAGTTTTAATAAGATCATTTTAATGACACACCTCCTTACCTATTTTTGTTAAAGATACCAAGAATGCTTGTGTTTTGGGTTTGAAATCCGGGTTAAATCTTGATCATGGAAGGGCATTCCTATAATTTGACCTAAAGGAAAATTACCAAATTTTCCGCTTGTTAAAGGTTAGGAGTGGGAAACAAGGGAGGTCGACCTGTGGGCCCGACTTGATTTGGACACAACCCAAGTCTGGGTTGGGTCCAAGTCTTAACTTAAACCTAGTCAGGTCGGATCTGGGTCTCGTTTGACCTAGGCCTTACCCAACCTATTCCCAGCCTTATCGAAGGCTCGAAACAAAAAACTATAAATTTTAATGAAGAACATTGTACTAGGTTTAAAATTCAGAACAAGTGGGAGTAGTTTTGTCCAGGACTGACAATGGGCCGAGCCTGGATTGGGCTTGCTTTGGCCATAGCCCTGGCCTAGTCCCTACAGGGCCGGCCATGACCCTGATGGGGTCAAAGAAGCCCTGACCCTAGGCCATGGTTGCCCAGCCCTCGGTCGCATCTTGTGGCCTAGGGTCTTGTTTTTTAAGGCCGGGCCGACTAGCCCACTGCCACCCTAATTTTATCATTTCGTTGGCCCACTTGATTCAAGCCAAATGACGCATCTTTGCTTGTCATGGCTTCCAAAAAGAATAAGAGACTTTAATGGAAAATCATACTTTGGTATTAAACCCCAGGACAAGTAGGGCCTTCTAAATTATTTTAATTAGGCCAATGCAAAATTATCAAAATATATTTAGTTTATTCAAGATTTTTAACCCAAAACAAGAGCATTTTATTTTACAAGTAATAGCTAAAGTTGATTGGGACCCTTTTTTTTATATCAAAGGGAATAGTCTCATTGTCCACTTTCCCTAATTATTACCGAAGAAGCCAACAATTAATCCGCACAAAATCCATAAGAAATGCTCGAAAAGCACTAATTTTGCACAAAATGCATAAAAGATGCCAAAAAAGGGAAATAACTTAGAAACCAAAAGGCTAAAACTTGAAATGTAAAACAACCACAAATGACAAGTACAACACATATATCAAAAAAAAAAAAAAGGAGGAAAAACAAGTATAATACAGTGTGTCACGGAACCAATGGCAACACATGGTTCTAAAAGGGTTGCTTCCATAATATGAAAGAGGGCCTATAAATCAATCATCAACAAACCTAAATCTTGAGCTTAAATATGCCTTAACCACTGATATTCTTCGTCTGCATAAGAGCAATTTAACCAATTTTGAAGGTTAGGAATCCATCTATTCCGCAAATATATTTTATTCAAAGAAAGGTAAAATTGGCCAAAAATAAAAATAGAGAGGGAGAGAGAGAGAGAGAGAGAGAGAGAGAAAGATCAGCGGCGGCAGAATAACAATGCACAAAAATTTAAACTAAGATTAGCAAAAACGCATTGTTACAAATACAAAAACTGCTATAAGGCCAGGTTGTTGCAAACCCTAAAGCTTAAACAAAACAACAAAATGAATAAATAATAAATTTCTTAGGCAACTAAATTATTGCGGTTTTCTTCAAGGATTCTCTCATATTCTTGCCGACTGGTGATTATCAGACCTTTTCCGGTGTCAAATATAGTTAGTCGTATGCTGCAAAAGATCAAGAGAGTGACCAACTTCAATGGTTTCAAAAGCATATAATATATACTATCTACAACCCACTTGACCATGCAAAACCATAGTCCATTGGGGTCATTGCCATCTGATGAAATGATGGATGGCGATGGGGTGAGGCAAACCTACCATTAGGGTCATGGCCAGCTCTCAGGGCGCGCACTTAGCAATCACAGTCCAATTCTTGACAATGATGGCCTCAAGGGATTATGCTTTTCACACATAGTCCAATGGATCGAAGGATACTTTTTAGCGAATAAGAGAATTTGCAAGGGAAAGGAGGAGAGGAAGAGACCTGCTACTTGGTAGGTTTTTCAATGCATTTGGTATGAAACCTCTATATAATCCAATGAGACCGTCAGCCGCCATAATACCTGCATGTTAATAATGGAAATAATTAAGGCAAAAAATTTTAAAGCAAATAGAGTTGATCAATATACGGATGGAAAAATAACATTCGTCATTTCTAATTATATATTCATATTGAAGTCAATAAGATTGAAAAACAAATATCAAGTTCCACACAGTTGACATGAAACCAATAAGGGCATCACCTGTCGACCCCTGGGTAAGCCATAAATGATACACCGCCTCTACAAAAGAGTGTTATCATGACCAGACCAGACCGACCAGTTCGGACTGATAACTGGTGCCCCAACCAATCAGTTTGGGAGGGAAATATTTAATTAGTCTGAATATCTGGTATAGACTTGTTGAAAAATGTGAACTGGCTGGTTTCAAACTGGTTTTGACCATAATTTTTAAAATTTTTATTTATATTTATCAGCCTAGTTTTACCTATGACGTGGCCGGTGCCCTCACCAATTCGATGACTAGTCCAATTTTGATGACACTGTAAAATCCAGCACTTGCTTTTTAAGTATCCAAGCTACCTCAAAGGAATCCCACTCTCAATCATTATCCATAAATGTATTTTTGTGTTTTCGTTTTTGGTTGGGGGGGGCGGGGGGCGGGGGCAGCAAGGGAGGGAGTCTGTAACAGAGAGAGAGAGTTTTAGTAAGTGCCAAATTTATCGTGTGTGCAAGGAGGAGTTCCCAAACTGGGGTGATTATATCCTTTTCCATTTGACAAGTAACTGAAGACCTCATATCTCTACCTGAAATCATTATTAAAAAATTTCTTAAGCCCATTGTACATCCCCAAAAGCCAAGCAAACTTCCCCAAAACTAAGCCATCCATGCGCAGTCCAACATGAGACCGAGGGAGTGAAGTCACTCCTCCCTTTCATGGTGAATTCACATTCAAACTAGATGGCAACGAACTAGCCATGTCACCAACAACCTCTAGTTTCTCTCTCACAAAATCTACAGTTTACTCATCTCAACCCTCCCCAATAGAACTCTATGACTTAATGCCATGGGATTTGGCCATGCTCTCCGCCCATTACATCCAGAAAGGCATGCTCTTCCCCTTCAGGTCAAGGCATACTCTTCAGTCAAACCCCTTCAGGTCTCGGCACTGTGCTGGAAGGCGTCAAGGTCACGTTCGCCAACTGCCTCACGCACTTCTTCCCTCTGACAGGGTTCCTAGCCACGCACAGTGATGGTTCAATCAACATCCATTGCAATGATGCTGGCTCTGCCTTCATCTCCACGAAGGCAGCCCATCTCACAGTGGATGACATCACAACTCCATCTTATGTAACTGATGATGTGAAGTCATTATTTGCCCTAGATGGCACCATCAGTCACGATTGCAATTCATTATCCTTGCTACTCAGGTATCCCCATACCCATCTGTACCAGCCATCCATTGTTGTTATGGCAATAGCAATGATGGCGCTACTAAGAAAGGGGTTGTTTACTGTGAACAGGTTAGGGAGCTAGGTTAGGGAGTTGAGCGATGGTTTGTTCATCTGGTGCTCCATGACCATGTGGGGGGCATGACGAGCACCTCCTTCTAGAACTTCTTCAACTCCTGGGTGAAAATTTCAGGGAGATGGGAACTCTTCAAAGATCTCACTGCCACCAATACTGGAGCTCAGGTTTCTTGGAGAATATCCCATTGCCATGAATCTTTAGAGGATGCCCTAGAAACCTAACAGACAGAGTCTTATGTTTTAGTGTTCAATCAATGATATTGCTCAGGCACAAGGCGAACATATATAGAGACAAGGAGCGCTCTGGCTCGATCTCTTTGTTAATGCTCTGGCAGCCCATGCGATGAGCTCTTTGTGGTCTCCCTCCAAAGTCCAAACCAGACAACCAGATGTTGACTGGCTGCTGAGAATCAGTCAAGGTGGCTCCAATAAGCAACAATCAAAAGTAGCTTAGGTGGGCTGGCCATGTGCAGCACGAACCCAATAGAGCACCGGTTAGAAGGTATGCTTTCGTTGATGTAGAACGCTCTTAATGGGTAAAAAGAAGGCCCAAAAGGACATGGATGAAAGTAGTAAGAAAAAATGTCGGGAATTATGGTTTTACTGAAGGTATGATCTTTGATATAGTAGAATGGCAGAGTAGGATTCATGTAGTTGACCCCAAATAGTTAGGAAAAGGCTTTGACGATGATGGTGGCGGTGATGATGATGGATAATGCGATCATTGGTCGAGCCACAGTTGCTCCCCACTTACTCTCTATCCATTAAAAGAGTTGGCTGTTAGGGCTTGACTTGTTTCTAGGAAGAACAAAGAATCCTGGCCCTCTATGGTTTTTCTATATTGTTTAAATGAGAATTGTTGGCTTGAATGGATGGATTGCCCCCCATCCTGGCTAACACCTGCTAAACTAAAATCACACTTCCTCTTTATCTCTGTTAGCATCTTTGCACTCCTCTCATTCCATCTTGAACATTCCATCTTCAGGATTCTGTGTGTATTTATGTATGTGCGTGTGAGAGAGAGAGCGATAGAGAGTGAACGAGAAATGAGAAGTTTTTATCATTCAAGAGATTGCATAGAAGGACACTGGAACGATAGAAAATGGATTAAAACAATCAGATTCTACCCCAACAGTAAAAGCATTCGAAATATTACCTGGAAAAGCATCCAAAACTGTTTTGTATGGTGAGCCCCTCATTTGCATTTGTCGTCTAACGGTATCTAAAGGATAGCACATAAGTGTCGCAAGGGTGGCTGACACCAAACCAGTTACAATAGATGTTTCAGGTCTCTTTTGATACTTCTCTGGTAGAGATTTCTTTATCCTGCCATTCACACATGCAAACAAGACAAAAACACTCCAATTACTGCTGCCGCATAGAGAAACCACTTCTTTTAATAACAAGGGAAATGATTTTGTGCTCCAGCAGGAGCAAATTGTACACATGCTCCTGCGGGCAAAACACTATGTTAAACGAATTTGCTTGACCCCAGAACTTCCAAATCATCTTTATTCATCTCTAAGATCAATTAAAAAAAAATAAGAGAACTCGGAGCCAAAAAAGTGCTCCAAATGAATGCCAGCCCCAAACATTGACTCAAGACCATCTATTTTATGGATGATCGGATCTATGTTTTCAAGAGCTTAAAACCATTAAAACAAAGAAAAAAGAAAAAAAATATTGTTCACAAGGTGAATCAAAGATGATTTGCAAACTTTCAGATAATTAAAAAAAAACTAACTAACTAGGTGTTTGGGGCACATGAGAGCCAGCCTAAACTTTGCTCCTGTTGAAGTGCACTATACATTCCCTATTAAAAGGGGGGCACTGAATTGCATGGGAAACTTTCAGCATGAATACTGTACAAAGATGCGGCAAATACACCCATTGGAGAATATACATAAAGTTTCAACAAAGTTACCTGCACTACTGGTTGCAAACATCCTTCTAATAGGCTAAAAACAATAATTGTTGGTACACAAGTAGAATTTTAATACAAGTTGACTCGAGAAAAGTGGGATCTGGAAAGCGACGGAGACAACCACTGTGACACTGTCCATTCCCAATGACAATGGAGAGTAAATGTACCCTGGAGAATATCTGGCATTGCCTAATCTCCACTCTTATGATATTTGAGATGGATGGGCCGATATGGTTCTAGTTTAACATATACGTTGCATCCCTGGTATACAGTATAAATTCCAAAAAAGTAAAATTCTCAGTGCAAAAAGCAAAAGGGATTAAGCTTACAAGTCAAAAATGCAAAAATTGACAGCAATATAGGGTGCGATTCCAAGAAGAGAAGGTCCAAGACCGCTGTAGAAGGAAGCAACTCCTTCATCTCTGAGCATGTTTAAAGCAACCTGATAATAATGTAATTCTACACATCACCAACTTCATTTGTGACATCAAATTCGTAACAATAAATGTAAAGATTTTGCTCCCAAAAAAGACATTAACTTGTGCCCATACCTGGGTCATTGTTTTGCAGCCTGGCTCAACGGCTAACCTCAACCTTAGGACATCTAAAGGGTAAGTCACCTATTAAGAATACAAAAGTGGAAAGACCAATAATTGAAAAAAAAAGGAAGTAAAGATTGAATATGAGCCAAAATATCTTCGGCACGATGCACTAAGTAATATAATCCAAAGGAGTATGGAGAACCAAAGTCCATTTGAGGCATTGCCATCCAATGAAATGATTAATGGGGACGGGGAACGAGTAGGACCCATCAGAATACGGCAGTACCTCGACAGTGCATCCCACTTGCACTCCATTACCATCCAACATTTCCACGGATGGTGACCACCTCAATATATTATGGTTTCCATAGGCACTGATATCATAACTTATGCAATAAGCATTACTATTATAGACTTTTTGGTGACTTAAAACTGCATAACTTCATAGTTATCACTTTTGAACAACACAAGATAAAATTTTAATTTTCAGTGTAAAATGATACAGTACCATTACACAAATATAAATGTGCAGGTCTTATTCATTTTGCAAGTTCGCATAAAACTCCCCTGAAATTCCACCACAAACACAGAGTTTCCTTACCATTGTCATCCAGCCCTAATCTAGTGTTAAACCTTCCTATGAGGGGTTCTATACATCCACGTATAAATTATGTTTAGGCACCATTTGATTTCAAATTTAGTCAAATGTTTTTTTCGAATAGACCAAGTGGCAATTTGGTAATCATCATTTGATGTGTAGGGGTGGTTGATCGTTTTAATTTGACTTGCAAATCGTTATTGTGTGGCGCGATAGTGGTGGTCATGGTGGTGCAGTGGTGGTGGTGGCAGCAGCATTGTGATGAGGATGGTGGTGGTGACTAGGCGATGGTGGTGGTGGCTAGGCGGTGGTGGTCGGGTGTGTGTGTGTGTGTGTGTGTGCGTGTGTGTGCGTGTGTGTGTGTGTGCGTGTGTGTGTGTGTGTGAGAGAGAGAGAGAGAGAGAGAGCCAAGTTGGATTTGGTAAACATCTTAAAGGAGGTTTTGCAAAAGATCCAATTTGAGGGCCCATTTGAAATAAGAAATCAATTCAAATTTGAAATGGCAATTTGGTCGAAATAGCAATTTAATAGCCTGGAAACAGTGCCTTATTATTGGATAGTTATGACAAACATCAAGTGATTCAGAGCTATTAAAGTTCTCCTTCCTCTTTTGGACAGTCCCCATAAATGTATCCTTTCGTGAATATATTTGAGGAGCTGACATACATTAAATGAGAGAGCAAAACTTTGAGGTTAGAACTTGGACTAGTCCAGAAAGTTCGAGTACTTTCATTACTTTTAAAAGTCTAAGTAAAAGAATAACCATATAATTTATTCGTACCCAGGCCATCGTTATCAAATGTGGCTGCTTAATGAATTATGCCAATACATTAAAGTGGTGTGGCCAAGCAAGATGCACCAGTCCAAATGGTGCATAACCAAATATGGGAATACATCAGGCCATGTGATGTGCCCACACGAGCAGTGGAAAAGATTTCAGCCCCCCCCCATTGGAAAAGGGGGGAAAATGGTTTGTGTTTCTTCTTCTCCTTTTTTTGGGTGGTTGTTCATTCTGTGGGGGAGATTTTTTTTTTTCTGTTTTTCTTTTTCATCTTCTTCTTGGGGGGGGAAAGGGGGGGGGGGGGGGAGGCGGTGGTGATGATGGCTGTTTATGTAACAACCCCACCCCCCAAACACACACCCACCCCACACTTCTCATTCCTAGTCCCTCGAAAGTAATAATCATCCTCTTGGCTTCATAAGTATGCATTCCTTCAAATGGCATTAAAAAAATACCAAATAACCACTGGATGAAGATTATTACCCAGTGATGTTAAAACTAAAACAGGTTTGTCTTCAAATAAATTGTTTAAAAGAACACAATTTGTTTAGAAATGGACCAGATTTTAGAGGCTCCCAGAAAGTCTGGTCCATTTCTAAAACTAAAGGGTGCTCCATTTGTGCGTGACCACAAATGAGAGACATGAAAAAGTGACTCCTAGTTTCCCTTGAGAGTCAAACTATAGCATTATCATTTTTATAATTATTTTTATTTTTTTACCATACATCCACAAAAAGACAAGCACGTAAAATCACTTGTACCTCTCAAATTTCAATAAAGACCAACTAGATAATCGAAAATAAAACACTAACCGAACAAAAATCCTCATAAGGTCGAAGTAATTAGAGACAAAGAAAGGAAAACTGAATTAAAATTAATCTATCATCGAGCTGTGAAACCAAAATACAGCAATTTTATGAAATGAAAAAAATGTTGCTGGAAAAATTAACAGAAATTGGAGAGGAGGAAGAGATGAGATGATGCTCCAATACCCTGCCTTTCAAAAACATGCAAACAAAATGAAACAGAGGGAGAGTAGGCTAAAACAAAATGCAAAGTATTCCCAAAGGGGTGAGGTTTCTATAATGCTTAGGCTCTATGAAAACAAAATAAACCCTCACCTCAAATCCTCATTCGGAAAGCACTTTCAGCAACGAAAATATCCATGATGGCTCTAAAATCAATTTCCAACACCGACAGTGAAATTCAAAACTCAAAAAATGGTACAAATCTTGCGGATCTATGAACGCTTATTTTTAGGGTGAAATGGATGATCTAGATAATTTGTTCCAATATACACTAGTTTTAGAGCTTGAAATCCATTTTTTTGTAGATCTTTAATTGATTTAAAGGTTTTCTAATGCTTGAATTGCAATTTTTGATGAGTTATTACCTATTTTGATAGCGCTGCAGCCCTATCAAACCATTTTCCTTCACAAAAAGATATCCTAGTTGGGAGACAAAAAGATCACTGGCGCACTGCCCCATGGAGGAAGGAGATGTTTGAAGATCTCTGACAATGTTAAAAAAAACGGATTCGGGTGCCTAGGCAGTTTGGGTGCCTGGCTGCCTAGGCGGGCGCCCAAGGACAGGGTGCCCTCACCAAAATCAAAACCCCCTGCACCCCAAACATAAAAAATAGGGGTGTTTAGTTTCACTTTCACATAAGACTTGACCCATTAAGATATCACATAATCAATTATTCATCAAATAACAAAAAAAATAGAATATCAAAATAAGAGACATTGTACCAAAAAGGAATCAATTATTCAATTTCATAAAAGTATACGATATATGCTCAATTTCATCGTCCAAGTGAGAAAAAAATCAATAAATCACCAAACAAATCAATCTTTAAACTACAAACATCTAAATATACCGTGAAAGGAAAAAACAAAAAAACACATGATTCATAACATAATATGTTGTAGCAAAATAAAATCAAAACCCTCTTTCAAATATGATAATAGTTTTAAAATATCAAAATCAAATCGATGTCGGTGCAAACCTCGTCTATTGGGTCGCCAAAAGTTCTCAAAATCAACTATTAGAAGCTCCAAATCCACCCAAGAACTATTGCTTTTGTTTTGGGAAGAAATCGAAAAAATAAAAAATTGTCGATCTTTCGATAAATCAAAAAATAGTAGTTTTTTAGGGGTTTTTCTCATCCTAAAGGCCACGGATTTTCTATTGGGGGTTAAGAATACCCCCTAAAACCCTTTTCCCTAAAAGGAATTACGTATTTTACCCTCACCCAAGGGCCGCCCGCAAGTTGTCACAGGGCGCCGCCTAGGAGGGCCCCAGACAATAGCACCTAGGCGACGCCCAAACAATAGCACCTAGGCGACGACCAGACAATAGCACCTAGGCGCTGCCCAGACAGCCTAGGCGGACACCCAAAAGCAAAAAAGCCTAATGCACCAGCCCAGATTGCGCGTAGGCGTTTTGAAATTTTTTTCGCCTAGGCGGTCAAGCAACCGAATTTTCGAACATTGATCTCTGGATCACTTAATGATGTCAATCACCCAGTAAGACACCATCTAACATATGGAAGCCCCACCAACTTTTCTTGGGAATAGGGAAAGCAAGAGATTAAGGCTGGACTGCCAAAAGGAAGAAAACTGTGGTTAGGGTCACAGATTACTGGGAGTTTGTACGCTTAAAATTTATGTACTTCAAAAAAAAAAGGAGTAAATCCTATGATTTTAGAACGAAAAATCTATAATTCAAAAATAACAATTACAGAAAGTAACCACTTGTAAATTGCCAAAACTTTACAAAAATAGTGCATGTTGAATAAGTTTTATACTTTCCATTGTGACATAATTTAACTAGACAACAATATTCCAGCATTCAAAATCTGCCTAGGAGATGTATTTGGACTTTTACGGACTGCTGCTATGTCTAGCTGCATGATTTGATCAGGTCAATAGTGAAAAGTAGAACTTGTGAGACATTGTATTCATGTTGGGCACGATATAAAATGATGATACAAAATAAGACTTACGAGAGTAGAAGTCATGCCCGCACAAGCCCCTGCTGCCAATCTCCCAACAACGGAGAGCTCTCCATCCTCTCTTCTAAAGAGTTTCTGTCCAAATATACAACAGAAGCCAGAAGAGGAATCAGTGTTTTTGTTGGTGAATAAAACCAACAATAGCAAAAGAATATTACAAATGATACTAATAGTTTCTCTTGTAAATTCTATATATCACGAGAACTGGCGGATATCCTGGCTAACAACAAAGAAAAGAACGAAAACTATTATACAAACATGAAAACAATTTCTTCCAGTAATTATAAAGAAAAAAAGTAAAAGGAAAGGAAAAACACCATATGCATACAAAATTTTGAGACATTTTTCATTAGGCGAACACTCTTATCACGCTTCTGATAATTTTATCCAAACATTAAATGCAGTAAAAGTTTACATCAGCCAAACAATTATTCAAGCTCTACATTCACCTTGTATACTTCATATGAGAAAAGCTGCACTACAGTGTATGGAATAATCCGTATCACCTGAAACAATTCAAAGGAAAATCATATATTTTCAAATAACATAAGTTCTACCATACAGAAGATCAAGCTAATCATGCAAAGGCGATACATGTAAAGCTGACATATATATGAAGAACATATACATATACCTGAGGAAGATTGCCTTTCCAGAAACCTTTAAGTCCTTCCTCCTTTCCAATCATCGTAATGGCCTGTTATTCATAAGCAATGAATCCCAAATTTGATTTATTAGTGATAGTCTATAGTTTGTACACGTGGTAATCTTGCTAAGGCAATTCAAGATTAAGCTCAACCGAATTCCACAGTATATAATCAGGAGTAATGATAAAACTTCATATATCACAATGAATTCCTCTACTTGCATCCTTGGAAATCTATTTGAAGTGTGTTCCATATGACTTATTACCATGCTAGTCTTCTTTTGTCTTCATTTGATATAGCACAGGAATTCAAATTTTTATTTGGATGTACATCTTGAAGAACAAAGTATTTTGATTTTGTTTTGCCATACTCATGAATCTCGAAAGAAAAAGGAAAAGGAATGTGCAGTGCAGAGACTGAGACTGACACCGCGTTTTAGTTAGTTCTTTGCCAAAACTACAAACTAAATGAAATCACAGGAGGATAAGAAACTACTTAAGACATGAGCTTTTCAATTAAGGATTGCAAATAAGAATTCCTGAATGCGAACTTCAACCACTACAATATGCTGAAACATGATTATGATTGACAACAGTGGACCTGGAAAAAGAAACTGATGATTGCAACAAGTGGACCAGAAAAAGCACTTAACAGAATGGATTGTTACAATGAATATCGATTCCAAGCCTGTACAAAACCAGTCAAAAATGCAATATAAACAAAAGGAGAAACCAACCTCAACAAAACCAATGCCCTGCTTTTGACTTTTCTCAACAGCCCGTATACCATGAGTCTGCAACCGAATGATAAGATTACCAAAAATAAATACACACTTTGTAGCTGAATAAGGAGCAAAAGAAAACAAAGTGCTCTTTTTGAAAAGGTGCTCCTCTAAAATAAAACACCACTCCAACCCCCACACAATGTTGCTAATCCAACCAAAAATAAAAAGAGAAAATAAATAGGATTTGAAAGATAAGAAAGAGGAAGACAACAAATAGCAAAACAAAATAAAATAAAATACCATATGAGTTCTAAAATTGGAGGGAGTTTAGGAACACAATCAAAAGGCATTCCTACTGTAAATGCTCCCATATTTAAGTGGAACAGAAATTCAAGCAGAAGGTGAAAACATAATAAAAAAACAAAAACAGAAGGCACCACTACAAGAAATAATTGAAAAAAGGCACTTAGACTATAAATGCTCCCATAACAAAAACAGAAGGCACCACTACAAGAAACAATTGAAAAACTCAGAGAGGGAGTGTGTCTGTGAACAACATATGTTCCAGGAAACCAAACTAAATGGAAGATTGCAGAAAGCCGACGGAGAGCAGCACTACGACAAGGACAAAATTCCATCAATGACTAGTGCTTTAAGCGAGAAAAAGAAAGATGTAGAAGGAGAGTAACTAATCCAAGAAACCATATTCAATACAAGATTGCAGGAAGCCAATAAAGAGTAGTAGAGAGAGAAAGATACGGGGAGAGAGGCACCGAGTAGAGGAACAAATATGGCCTGATAGAGGGACTTAGAGAGAAAGATGGGTAAGCGAGAGACTATTCGCTTGAATGTAAAAAATAAGAAAGTTAGAGAGAGACTATATACTAGGAATCCAAATGCGGATATTGCAAAAAGCGAACAGAAGAATGCAAAAAGCGAATGGAGAGTAGCACTGTGACAAAAAAACCAAATTCCATCAAAGCTAGTGCACAGAGAAGATAGAGAGAAAGATGGGTAGAGAGAGGGCGTCTTCTATGAAACCAATTTCAATAGAAGATTGCAGAAAGCCAATGGACAATAGCAGTATGGAAAAAAAAACATGGGTAGAGAGAGAAAGAAGTGACCTGCATGAGAAGCTTAATTCTATCGAGAGGTGCGGTGAATGTCTTGGCAGCAGCTCCTGCAATGGCGCTCGCAATGCAGAGGGACAACTCATCAGGAACCAAAGAGAACAATGCCAATGGGTGTTTCACAAATTGCTCCTTACTCGGGAATTCTTTTGAGGCCCCCTTCTCTCCCTTCCCTCCAAAACCCACAGAAGCAAAAACCCAATTTCTCTCTCCTCCCCATTTTCTCTCTCTACCCCTGCATTCGCTAACGAGTTTGCCATTACTGGGCTGTTGAGGTTGAGGAGGAGGGGGCTCAAAGCCTGGAATGGGCCTCCATATTAACACGCCCTCTCTCATCACAAAAACTGTAAACCCCAAAAACCTCAAGCTCAATGAGAGAGAGATCAAAACCCAATCTTCCTCTCAGTTGTAGAGAGAGAAAGTGAGGAAGAGGCCATCCCCTCTCTCTCTCTCCTCCTTTTAATTTGGCGTCGTTACTGGGTCTGAGTGGAACGCAAGTAGAAAACCAATCACCCTAACTGCCTCTCCCTAATTTCTCTCTTAAATCTTAATAAACATTTCTATAAAATTGAAAAGAGGATGAAGTTTATATTATAAAGCCCAGGTTTTATCGAAACAAAATAAAGCCTCATCTCAAATTTTGAAAAAGTAATTTTACCCACAGAAATTTTTATAATAGCTCTAAATCAATTTCCAAGTTCGGCAATAAATTTTTTTAAAAAATAAAAATGAACACTTCGTTTTAGTGTGAAATTGACGGTTTAGATAATTTGGTATAATATAGACCATATTTAGAGCTTGAAATTATTCTTTTTATTTTTTTCACACCGATATTGTTCGTGCGGAGATGATAGGTATAAAAGTTTCTCAATACTTGAATTGCAATTTTCAATGAGTTATAAAGTCAAGCTTTACTATATAAAAGAGCTTCGACCACAAAATAGTACATAAGGTAGGCATGAGCACCACAACCCAAGGGGAGGCCCGAGCTGGGCCAAGACCACAACATGGCTGGCCTGGCTCGGTCATGGGACAGTCTACCTTTATTGGCCGGATTGGGCTCAAATCGTTCCTACAAGAACCATACTAGGCCCTTAGTGGCCCCGGCCCTAGTCTAAATATTTATCGCCTTTACCCACAAAATCAATCTTTGTAGACATCAAATGATACGCTCCTATTTTATATTTTCAACGTTCAACAATACCATCCACTTTTTTTTTCTTTTTTATTATTATTATTATTATTATTATTATTATTATTATTATTATTATTACTATTATTATTATTATTATTATTATTATTATTATTACCAAATGCCCCTCTTAGAAGTTGCAATAAAAAAAAAAATTAAAATTTATTATTTTCCTCTTTCAATTATTTCCCTTCTAAATAACACAAACTTCAATATCTTCCAAATTTTGTACCTCGGGCCTTGTTTTTTTTAAAGCCGCCCAAATCGGGTCGAGGCAGCCACCTAGCCCATTGCTACCCCTATATCTACCAAAACAAGCACATTTTTCTCTCTTCCTTCGAAACTCTCTCGTCTATACAGTGGCAAGTGTCGGATTTGCTTTATACTGAGACGATTAAGATTGGCTATGTTTGCATAAAGGAATAGGGTTATGGCTTAGGCGCGAGAGAGAGAGAAACTAATGTGGCTGCCTCCTTATAAAGAGAGAGATATGTTCGTGGGTTAGGAGAGCGAAAGCTAGATTTGTGGATTAAAAAAAGAGCTAATTTTGAGGTTTGAGAGAGCTAGTTCTGGCTTTAGCAGAGACAGATATCAAGTTGTATGTACATTATTTCTATAATAGCTTATATAAATATATAAAAGGAAAAAGTTTATATAAGGTACAATTATGTAAATTGTACTTTACGGTACAATTCAAATTCTATCAAAAAAGGCTATTTTGATATTGGAAAACGATATATTTGATCATCGAGATGTTCGGATGTGGGAAAATAAAAGAAAATTTCAAATCCAAAAAATAACACATCTTGCGACATATTATATGGACCATCTATTTTTAAGATTTTTATGCGTTTAGAGATCTTCGAGTGAAGATACCTGGATATGACACTACAAACTTATTTTTTTAAAGAAAAGTAGAGACGTGAGATCAATCGAGTTATAATCTAGAGACAAATCTATCCAAAAACAAACATATCTGCTCTTAGATCAATGGCAGAGTCAGCATCAATCTTTTGCATGAAATACCAAAAGAAAAGCAATAAACTATCCTAGGTCTATCAAGATCACCAAAGAAACTAAAAATGTAGGGAAATGGTAATAGAAATATACCTTACTAAGCCGGTTGGCCCATGACACTCAAGGCTTTGAGGTGTCGTCCGCATCAGGACCGTCGTTGAATTTACGTCGTGCGTCTTTCTTTCTCTATCCCGATTTGACCAAGTTGTGGCTTGGTTGAACTAGGATTTAGATTGATCTAAAGTTGAAGGTTGAAGATAGGTTTTCATGGAAGTGGCTGATGGTCTAGGATTTTAGGATTTCATTGTAGGGTTTTGCTCACAGATCAGGGTTTTTGCTCACAGATCAGGGTTCTTCTCTCATGTTTTTTGGCCATCCCTAAAAGTGTTGGCAAAATGCATTTTTATAGACCCAAAAGCGTGTGGACTGTATAACTTCTAAAAACAAGTGGATATGCTAGATCGCAATCGAATTTTGGTGGTCAGAGGGTTGGGTAACATACTTTGTGCCGCCTAGATCAAACCCGGGCTTGCGCAACAAAAGCTGTGTCGCCTAGCCTACATTCACTGAATCTGGTCCAAAAAAGGTTTGGAAGCTGAAAGAGGGGGATTTGGGTCGATTTGAGCCCAATAGATCTTGGCCACACACCTTGTGTCGCCCAGCCCAGATCTGACCAAAATCTGAAACTTCAGATGATGGGTTGATCCACACATTTTTTAGTGATTTTCTAAAAATCAGGTTGAAGTACGATATCTTGCTAATTTTTATTGATTATTTTCAATATAAGTGAGTCTTGAGGATATTGGATTACAAGATGAGGACTACGGACTATGGTATTTTGTGGTTAGTATGATCCTAAGGGTTGTCTAAAGTAAAAAAAATGAGTCAATTTTGCCTTATTAAAAAATGGGGTGTCGAACAAGTATATTGTGGAGCTTAGCATATTATCACACCTAAAAAATGGTATGATTTAAATTCCTAGACACCATCACAACGTTTTAGGAGCCATTTGGTAGTCAAACCTCAACCAACATTTAATGTGTGGCATTCATTCAGTCATTAGGTTATAATATTAGACAACTGGATGTCCCTAGGCACAACACTATGTATGAGAAATATGCTTACAACACCATACATACATACACATATAGCGAGTGATTTCATACAATAGTTATATAGTAATATAACGAATTAATTTCTGAAAATTATGTTAGGGCCATTTATCTAACCTTATTTTTAAAATATATTATGTTAGGGCCATTTTTCTGACCCCATTTTTTAAATATACATTATTTTCATTTTAATGAACAATTAGGAAAAAGTATAATTTAAAAACAACAATTTAGAAAAGCTTTTTTTTTTAACCCAACTAATATAGGTTGTCCATTTTTGGGAAGATGCTTAGATCGAAGTGGTAGAAAAAACAATTCTCCTTCTTAACTTTTTATACGACTTTATGATCATTAGATGAACAATATTAAAAAAGAAAAAAATGATTTTGAATTCGTAAACACTTAGATATTGAAATTTACCAAATGGATAGTCTAGATTCATTGTTGGAGGTAATCTATTTCCACCAAAGTGCAAATTGAATTTTATTTTTTGGTGATTGATTATTGGGATAAAGAGAGGGTGTTTGCAATTATTTAGGTCATACAAATGCGACAAACATGGTTCTCTAGAAGTATAGTTTCATTACATTATAATGACACGGTGACATGAAATTAGTCCCCTATTTATAAATTTGCAACTTTACTTAAAAGTTAGGTTGCAACGCTCTACACTATCCATTTTATATCGATAGTGTAGATTTTTTTTTTTGGGTGAGTGATGATATAGATTTTCCACTATCTTAAAAAACATACAATTTTTTGATATTATATCAAAAATAAATTTAAATCTATGAGCCATGTCACAATTGGAAAAACCTGGCAATCTAACCGCTAACTGGCATGTTAGATTAGTTTTGGGTAGTTTTGGTAATCAACCGGTATTAAAAAATTAAAAAAAAAACATATATAAATTCTTAAAAATAAAGAATTTGGTTTGTAATGCATTGTTTAATATTCTTTACATGATGGTAAATATTATAAATTGTTGTGGTCATTAATACTCACGTTAATTCAAAAAGCAATTCATTAAAATCCAAATTTTTCATTAATTTTCAACTTCATTTGATTGCGTTATGTTTTAATCATTCTTTATATGCTTTTTTTTTTACCGCGCAAGACCTGTCCGATTAGAACTGTTGAATCGCTCAGTTTACCAGTTAGGCTGATTAAACCGTTTTCAAGCCCATCTCTGATTAACCGTTCCAGCTCAATTTTACGAATACTAGGCCATGTAAAACATCATAACCTCATTCTAC